AGTCTGAATAAYARAAATGACCAATATACCCCTGAGTATTAACTATGGGCTGTTAYACAACCCATGTTAAACAAACCCAAAATAAATCGACCAGCAAGACCATCAAGCAGCAAACAATATAGCATCAAACAAGCATCAATGAGAAGCTGCTGTTTCATCTTTAGTGAAGCTGCTGTTTCATCTTTATACAAGCATCAAAAATAGTTATACAAGCATCAAACAAGCATCTTTAGTGAAGCTGCTGTTTCATCTTCATACAAGCATCAAACAATAGTCAAGGCAAGCAAAATCGAGCAGCAAAATCGATTCCATGAACAAAATCGAGCAGCAAAATCGAGCAGCATGTTTTCGAACAGCAAAATCGAGCAGCAAAATCGATTCCATGAACAAAATCGAGCAGCAAAATCGAGCAGCATGTTTTCGAACAGCAAAATCGAGCAGCAAAATCGATTCCATGAACAAAATCGAGCCTAATAGAACCTAAGAATCGAGCAGCAAAATCGATTTGAGCATCAAAATCGGAAGCAAACAGGGCATACAAACCAAAATCAAAAACCAAAAACAAAAACCAAAACCAAAATCAAAAACCAAGAACAAAAACCAAAACCAAAATCAAAAACCAAGAACAAAAACCAAAACCTGCATCTCCAATCGAAATCCTAATCTCCAAAAGCAATGACGTGAAAACCCCAAAATCGAAATCCTAATACCCAAAATCGAAATCCTAATACCCAAAATCGAAACCCAGGCAAGGAGGAGATCGATGGTTGGTGGTGAACACAGGCAAGGATCGATGGAGAAGAAGGGTAGGGCAAGTCTTTTGGCCGGCTTAATCTGGACAAGTGCCTTTTTTCATCTGGGCGAATAAGCCCATTTCTGAGCGATTAAGCTTAAAGTAAACAGCCTTGAGCGTTTGTGCGAATAAGCCAATTTATCCACTAAACTCATTAAGCCATAAGTAAACAGGCCCTTAGACATATATGTAAAATAATATCACTTCAATATTTTCACTTTATGTCAATCTAATCCAAACCACCGCCTTGAAAAGTCAAAGTTGACTTTTGTTTTAAGTTGACCCTTTTTATAAATTTAAATTTTCATTTTCATTTACTTTATAAAAACATGAAAACATGTTTTTATTTATTTATTGTCAAATCACATGAAAACATGTTTTTTTTTATTTATTGTCAAATCACATATGATTTTATAATTCATTACATATGATTCATTACATATGATTCATATGTGATACTAAAACAGAGATGTAGACGATCTTTATGATGACCTCATTAAGTCATTCACACACCATTAAGGGGTTGTTTACTTGCAGCTTAATTAGACTTATAGGTTTATCTGGCTTATTTGCACCACTCATTTGAGTTGTTTACTTACGGCTTATTCGCACAGAACATGACTTAATCACACAGATAGAAATGGTGTGTTGTTCTTATTCAGCCACAAAAATTACACCTCTACCCTTTATTTAAAGCACCACCTCCTTCCCATATGAGACACCGCATCTTCGACCTCTTTATGATTTTTTTTTGTTTTGATGTTCAAATAATTAATATTGGGGAGGTAAATCGGTCATTTATGTTATTCAGACTGTTGAGTCAGATAAAATAAGTAAATACCAACACTCATTTATCCAGACAGACAAATTTATCCGCACAAACAAATTTATCCATACAGGACTTAATAAAAAATTTGGTAAACAGCCCCTAAGTCCCATCTCGTTTATTATAGCATGTGATACGAGTATTGTTGATGTGATACTGTAATTGATCATATATGATACTAAATCAGAGACGACTTTTTTCGCGACCTTGATCGTGGGCCAAGTCATCTGCATACCACCAGGTCCCCTCATGTTTTAGTTTTGTCAACTTTAGAAAAGAGCATTTAAAAAGCGTTGAAAATTGCATGTTTGTGGTTAATTAAAGACCTTGAAAATGTAGATAACGAGATTTCAGAAAAAGGGTATTTTAGGTATTTGATTGATATTACGTTTAATTTCCTATCAAGCAAGTTTAGGATCGATATATACACCTCATACGTGTTTATTAATTCTTTATACTATACCATATATCTATTATATCTTCAACTACCCGATCTTTAATTCATAGAAAACCTATTTTATACAAAATTTTAATATATATTTTTAATAAAAATACCGTTATATAAAAAATATGATTTGAGAAAACCCATATTAACCAAAATTAAAACAACAAAACAGAAAGAAATAAGAAAATTAAATTGAGAAAAATAAAAAACACGACGAGTTAAGCATTTGTAAGTAAAAACTATACAAAACGACGTAATTTTGCATATTTTGCAATTTGGATGCATGATTACTGTTTCGGACATATACGTTGGTTAAATAATGTTCACAAGTATTATAGAAGGCGTAGGGATGAACTTACCACATTGATTATCAATTTTGTGTGGAATATCGACTCAAACCAACTAGTGATTAATGGGTCATTTACCAAATGCTTATTGGATAAGTGTTTACTGACAAGAGTCACCACCATCTTTTATCTTTGCGGGTAACATTGTCGGTCATCAGAATTGATTGTTAGTAAACGTCTCTTCAGCGTTAACTGGGTAAGCGTCTTCTCCCTCACTCACTTACCGGGTAAGAACCTTGGTTGTTACTATGACTCTTATCAGGTAAGACTTTCGATCCTTGTAATGCTCACTTGCGATAGGTCGATGACCAAGGTGGAGATTGATTATTTTATAGTGAAGTAAGAGGAGGGTAACTGGTAAAAGGCACTAACACGTACTTTAGGAAAAGGGTATGGTTGAATGGATTAAGCTAGGCCCATGTAGTAAAACGAATAAGCCATGCGGTTAATCAGTAAGTCACGTATGAACATACCTTTGTGGTTAACCAAATGAGTCTTCATCTGTTAAGATCTCTATTAGTTGGTTGCTGCCAATCATCACATTGGTAAACCAATATCAGATGTTGATCTTTTTTCTTCAACTGCTCAAGTACTTGTAAGATAGTTGCTCTAGTTAGCTGCTTAACCTCATATCTTTTAGCTTCTTCAGTTGTTGACCTTTATGTCTTCTTTAACCAACCGACTCTAATTAGTTGTGGTACGATCTTTATCATTACCTTCAAGAAAACTAAAGGACGTTAGGTTTACAGAATCCAAAGGAACCCAATAACGTTAGAGTAATAAATTTCCTTTGACTAAAATCCTTGGCATCGTTTGATTTACGGATTGAATGGATTGGATTCCATCAAATTCAATAAAGCGGTTAAGGTATCTGATCAATCATTTACATAAGTCGAGGAATTTGAAATCCATTTCCTGGCCAATGTCAAGGATTTGATGATTTGATTTTAAAAAGATAAAAGTAACATCTGAATCCAATTTAACCAACACTAATGCTAGTTCACCACTTACTGCACCACCTATCCACAACTACTACCTTTGTTGTTGTTGTTCCACCTTCCACCATTGCTGCCACCACCACCACTAACTCTGTCACCACCACCATCACTGTTGTCCCCCCAGTGTCATTGTCGTACCACCATCACGATTGTCACACCTTTTAACTACAACCATTGTCGCACCACTCGACACACTGTAGCATCACACCGTTGCCACCGTCGTGCCACTATCGTTGCCGACATTGCAATCGTTTCTACCACCATGAACAGTGCCCACTGCTGCTACACCATCTCTATCGCCCCTTCCATTACCCATGTTGCCCTCGCCACCACAACCACCACCAACTAATATCATTATAAAGTTTCTCATTATATATCAAGGTTCTAAATAACGTAAGGAGTAACGTTGCGGTAAGGTCAACCCTCAAGCCTTACAATTTACAACGAGGTCACGACGTTTTTCAAGACATGTCCTAAGGCAGAGTATACACACACACACACTTGTGTGTGTTCGTGTTTTGAATAATCTTGTAGAACAAATTAAATTCATATAAAGTAAAAAAAAACTAAATAAAAAATAACCATTGATACAAAATACATAGATCTTATAAAAATGATATCAAAAGGGTAAAATCAGAATTAAATCTCTTAAATCATTACCGACTACTTTCTTCAATTTCCAAGGAATTTATGTTCGACTTTATGTATGGGAATTTGAGTAAATATTTACATTTATAAGGTTTTAGTTTTTCAGTTCCCTTTTTATAATTATTTAAGTCTTAGGTTTTTGTACATAATTATCATTTACGGTATATTTCAAATGCAACCATGTCCATTTGTACAACCAATGCAACTCAGTTAATTGAAATATTTATGGAAATAATTAGAGTTTATTTATTATGATTTGAATATTTATGTAGGATTTATTTCAAATACAACCTATCGCATTTGTACAACCAATGAAAACCAATAAATTGAAATATTTATGGAAATGATTAGAGTTCATTTATTATGATTTAAATATTTATAGAAGATGAATACAGTTTATTAATTATGATTAATACTTTATATTAGGAAATAATCAAAACCTTTATAAAATCACATATTAATCAAATGAAATGAACGGTTGAGATTGAGTTGTATTGGTTGCACAAATGACAAGGGTTGTATAATAACCAACCTCTATTTATGTAAGATGGATAAAGTTCATTAATTATGATCAATACTTTATATTATGAAACAATCAAAACTTCTATAAAATTACATATTTATCAAATTAAATAAACATTTGAGATTGAATTATATTGGTTATATAAATATAAAGGATTGTACCAATCTCTTATATTTATCCCTGTTATATAATTGGCAAGTGAATACCAAATTGGAAGGTATTTTTTACGTGTATAGGCATAGCGTTAGAACCAAGTCAAATTCGACTCCAATGGAAAATTTCTTCTCTCCTACTCCTAGAAACAACCTGTCCCAGACGAAACTAAACTAGGGTTCCCCAATTATCAACCTCCATTAACGCGTATTCTCTTTCTTCCTATAAATCTCACTCCGCAACCCCACATTCTTCTTCATTCCCACTTTTATGTCTCACAGATCCTTTGTTCCTCATTCTTCCTCCATAGCTTTTCAGCTTCATTCTCATCTCCTTGTTTCCAGTGATTTGAAACCCAGTTGGTTTTCTTAGTTTTCTAACTTCGTTCTTTCCTTTAGATTATTAGTTTTGCTAGGATTTTTGTTTGATTCGTTGAAATGGGTGCCAAAGGATTCGTTGAAGGTGGGATTGCTTCCATTGTTGCAGGCTGTTCTACTCATCCTTTAGATCTCATTAAGGTTCGTATGCAATTACAGGGTGAATCGGCTCCTGTTGCTAACCCTAACCCTAACCCTGCTCTTCGCCCTGCTTTTGCTTATAATGGCGGTGGCGCCACCACTGTTGCGATGCCTCATCCGCCGCCTCCCGCGGTGGTTAGATCTGGACCCGTTTCTGTGGGTGTGAAGATTTTTCAAACGGAAGGTGTTGCCGCGTTGTTTTCCGGCATCTCGGCGACGGTTCTCCGTCAGACATTGTATTCAACCACCAGAATGGGATTGTATGAGATCTTTAGGGAGAAATGGACAGATCGGAATACAGGTAAGTTTTCTCTAACTAGAAAAATCACTGCCGGATTGTTGGCCGGTGGGATCGGCGCTGCCGTTGGGAATCCCGCCGATGTTGCAATGGTTAGAATGCAAGCCGACGGGAGGCTTCCGGTGGCTCAACGGCGCAACTACAAAGGTGTCGCCGACGCCATCGCGAGGATGGTGAAACAGGAGGGAGTTACGAGCCTCTGGCGGGGATCATCGCTGACGGTTAATCGTGCGATGATCGTCACGGCGTCGCAGCTGGCGTCCTATGACCAGATCAAGGAGACGATTTTGAAAAATGGAGTAATGGCGGACGGATTAGGAACGCATGTGACGGCGAGTTTTGCAGCGGGATTTGTGGCGGCGGTGGCATCGAATCCGGTGGATGTGATTAAGACGCGGGTAATGAACATGAGGGTGGAGGAAGGGGTGGCGCCGCCGTATAAAGGGGCGGTGGATTGTGCCGTGAAAACGGTTAGGGCGGAGGGGCCGATGGCGCTTTATAAGGGTTTCATACCGACGATCTCACGGCAGGGGCCGTTCACGGTGGTGCTTTTTGTGACACTTGAACAAGTTCGCAAGATTCTTAAGGATTTTTAATTTTATAGAAATTTCATTTAATTTGATTTTTGGAAAATATATAATTCCAAAAAGTAATATTAAAATGAAATTAAATGCATGATAATGATGAAAAATGTTATTTATATATATGGTTGTAGTGACAAAAATATATTATAATCATTATATTATTAAATTACTTGGTATTTTTGTTGTTTTTATATTTTTTTGTTTAAATATATTATAAAAAATAAATAAGTAAATTAAAAATAAAATATATTTTGTCAGTGATTTTTTAAATTAAAAATCATATTAACTAGTTGTATAAGTCATATTGATGTATATAAAAGATTTTAGAAAGTTGAAGAAGTTATTTAACATGTTTTGGAATGTTCGAGGACTTATTTGTTCCAATGAATTGTCGAAGGACTTAATTATTTCAAGTACTAGAGTAAAATAATCATTAAATGAAATAGTCATTTTTGGTATGTGGTTTCATCTCTTAGCTATTTCTCTTCTAAAATCACTAAAATATTGTCAGGTCAGTAAATGTCAAGTCTGTAATTTATGGAAGGGTCAAAGTGTTAAAAAAAGAGTTCAAGGGATCAAATTTGTAAAATAGATATAGGTTTGCAAGTTATAAGTCTGCAACTTGTGGAGATGTTGGGACTAATTTACAGATTTGTTTCGTGTCCTTGCAAACCTGATTTAGAAACTTTTTGACCACTCTGTAAATTGTGCACCTGATATAAGAACTTTTCTTTTACACTTTGACCCTTCTGTAAATTATCGATCTAATAACATTTTGGTGATTTTAAGAAAGAAATAGCTAAAAGATAAAACCAACGTCTAAAAATAACCATCTTAATTAATTTTCCAAATAAAAATGTTTAATAAACCATAAATGCTTGTGGCACAAATTCTCTAAATATTCTTTGATGCATTTATTGATTTTTTTAATCAAAATATAAAGTTTTAAGAAGTATATAATATTTATATATGGGAAAATCGTATAAATAAACTTACATACCCTCCTCACATTCGGTGAGGTTTGAACTCTTGACCTCCTAAGAGGTCAATGACTCACATACCGCTATTCACTTTTATATACCTTTGTAGTGTAATTTTCTAAATAGCGGGATTTTATGCAAATGGATCTAACGTAATCCACATTTTCTATTAAAAAATGGTCCATTTGAGTAAATCCGGCCCACTTGCGTAAAAACAAGAAGAAAAAAATGGATTACGTAAGTTGCGTAAATTTATTTGTGTAAAAATCCAGCTCTTTAGAAAATGACAGTAAAAAAACGACTATATAGAAAATTAGGCTTTTAAATTTATTCATTTGGCATTGAAGCTTTTTATTTGTGCAACAACGGGATTGGTTAGTAAGTGTTAATGGACGTTTACCAAACGTTTACCCGGGTAAGCGTTTACCAAGTAATGTTACCTCACCGGATGAATATGGCAAGGACCAAGAATCTTACTCGGTAAGAGCGAGAAAAGGACCAAGAGTCTTACCTGTTAAGTGAGGGCGACGACTTTTACCATGGTGAGCACTTACCGAGTAAATTGTTGCATACGATGTCGTTTTGATGGACTAAAATCTTACCCGGTAAGTAAATAATAGTGTTAGATTTTATCGATAAGCACTTACCGGGTAAGTGTTTGGTAAACGGCCCCTTAATGTTGAAATATCTACATGTATGCTATCTGAAACATCAAAAACAAGTTTAAGGTCTCTAAATCTTCTATCTTCTCTTAGGGTTCAGAAAAAACAGAGACACATACGACCAGTAATGTGTCGCGTAACTCTCTAGTACTAGCAACAAATGCGTAAACGACCTCCCACGTGACCTCAATCGCAGAGAGGCTCACGTGTCTCTCTGGAATGCCTCACTACTTTATATGCGACTTGGGTTGCTTTCCAGTGACACAACTATCTGGACATGTGCTTTCGGTTGGAGACAAAATGTATACGGTATTTGGTATATGGGCAAAACAATGGTTCACTTTTATTTGGTTTTTTTATTATTCCCACGAATTCAATCACCCAGAACATAAATTTTAGAGTAAACTATGATTTTCGTCCGTGATCCTTACAAAATTGCCTTTTTGTCCTTGTGGTTTTGCAATTCCTTTCGTTTTTCGTCTCCAGTACTGACTCTGTTAGAAAAATGCTGTTAATTTAAGGGTAAATTGGTCTTTTCAACCTTTTTATTTTCCTTTTGGTGTTATAAAGTTAAAGCATTTATAATAAGATAAAACAAAACCTATTCGGCGTCGGCCATCATGTTCCCACTCCTCCTTTTTTCTAGAAAGAAAACAAACAAAATCCAATATGATTTTTGTTTCAATATATAAAATATTAATTGAATATGTGTGTTCCTATTTCACCCGAACAACAACATGAATCACTGGATGGTGGTTTGGGATGGGGTGGTTGTGGAAATGTAAGGAAGCCAAAAGACTAAGAAATGAAGTTGGAAAACACTGGATTTTTATGAAGTTACCTGTGCAAAAACACATTGGTGGTAACATAAATCTCTTCAAAAGAAAAACATATACAGGTAGAATTTTTGAAAGATTTCATTTCACTGTGCAAAGCCAAAAACAAAATCAAATAGGAAGATTGGACATAGATAGCCAGAAACAAATAGATAGTCGAAACCAAAAACATAATCGAGATTAGGGTGGTGTGGTTTGGGATCGAAGCAGTGGTTAAGGGTGAGCAACGGAACCAGGTACCCGGCTACGAAAACGACTTGGAACCGCCGGTTCCGGAACAGGAACCGATATGAGTGGTTCCGGTTCTTAATTTTTCGGAACCGTTACCCGCCGGGTACCTGGTATTTTTCAATAAAAAAATAATTATTATTTTTTAATACCAAATTTATATTAGGTTTACATCTTGAAAGCACGTCGTTGATGTGCTAAAATCGTAACTGTGCACACAATGGGCACAAAGTCCCCAAAGTGGCGGTGCAAGTGCACGCCGACACTATGATCGCTTCAAGTAATAAAGTGGTATAGTACCAAGATCGTTTCCACAGGGACTGGACTTACTGAGAATCAGAGACTTTCATGAACTTCTTGAACATGCTTCGGGTTGAGAAAATATTTGAGTTTTGATTGGTGCAAAGCGTTAAAATACGAAATAAACCTTTAATATTAAAAGACGGATATGGGTGTAAGCTTTACTTAAGAATATTGCAGGAACAATTTGGTCAGAAACTCATGGGATTTCTATAAGAACTCCTATCTCTCGAAAGTGAATTCTTATATACTGTGCCCACAAAGTGCCCACAAAGCGTCCAGTTTTATCAACTTTAAACTTGCCGAATTAGCTACTAGATAAAAAGATATCTGGTTCCACTAGCCTGAAGATTTATACTCACAACGTATTGTAGTATAAACTCGACTAATATCTGAACATTAGCTAAAAACATGCAAAACCCGCATCTCTGCGTGATTATCAAAGACTCTCTCAAATCTTTGTGCATCATCTAAGCCGTATTTCAGATCCGCCCATCTCTGGATCAAGGATCTAATATTAACACTTCAAAGTCATCAGCTTATCTGCGTTGAGCTTAAGTCCTGACTTGAATGATCAAGCTTAAGAATCAATAAAAAATGGCAACACCCAAGTGCGCCTTTAAATTCTTAAGTTTGACTCACACCCATACCCAAAGGAGTGCTTAGCTCATAATAAAATTATAAAACATAAAGGAAACAGAAGAAGAAAAATACATAAGAAATACTTGAACTGAAATTTTACTTAAACTGTTGCCCACAGACGGCATACAATACACAGTGGCGAGAATTAAAGACTAAGTACGAAAATAAAATTACAAGCAGAAATTAAACATGCTCTACTACTGTAGAGCTTGAGAGAATGTTCCAAGGTTGCTTAGCTAAATTGTTGATGGAGTGGATGTCTTCCAAATGAGAGAAAAACTTCAATATATAGGAAAAAGTGAGGACCGGACAAACTCTTCGCCCAAAGGAAGAAAGCCTTCATCGTCTAGAATGTAAGGACCTCCCATCACCGCATGTCTACTTTTTCTGGACTAGTCATTTTTTCTTGAAAGGTTGCAAAAGGTAAAGCTACCTAACCATTAAAATAATGAAAATGTAAGGAAGACTTTTTCATTAAAATAATGATAGGAGTACTTTATTGGCATTTTATAACTCAACCAGAACCATTCTTCCAAGTAACTCATGATTTTCGGATCTGAACTCAGAATTAAATCCCATTAATACCCAAGAGAACCAATATTTGAATTTTGTTCAAATCCGACTTGATGAAAATACGCCATAGGATGAATGTGAGTAGAAAGTGGGCAGTTTACCAACAACAATAAGTTTTTTAGAAAATAATTAAATTCTTGACATTTCATCACCTTTTAACATATTTTGGACCAAAAATACAGGATAAGAGCAAAATGGGTACCAAAGACACAATAAAATAGGGGTATTGAACAACAAATGACTCTCACAAATTGAGAGTTATCAGTCGTCATCTTCATTCTTCATCTAAATTCTTCATATAAAATGATTCGTATTTTTTCAAATTGTGTGTTCACTTGGATTCATAGTATGTAATCGTTAAACTTTGAACAATTACCATTATAGTATGTAATCGTTAAACTTTGAACATTTACCATTAAAGTATGTAATCGTTAAACTTTGAACATTTACCATTAAAGTATGTAATTGTTAAACTTTGAACATTTTCTATTAGTCTATTATGGTTTATAATCGTTAAACAATATTTGTAACCATTATTCTGTATAATTTGTATTCTTGCTTATTTATTTAGTGTTTTGTCAATGTTTTATTTTTTATTTATAAATAACAAAATTTTAATATTTTAGGAAGCGGGTACCCGGAACCGGAACCGGTTCCCGTTCCAAAAATTGAAGAACCGCTCTAACCGGTTCCGGTTCCAGTGCCTGTAAAAAAAGACGGGTACCAGCCTATGCTCACCCCTAGCAGTGGTGGGGCCGGGGAAGAAGACTTGTTGAGAGTGAAGAGGGGATATAAGGAGATCGATGGGAAGAAACCAGTGAGACAGGCCCGGTTGTAGGTGGTGGTGGCCGTTGGACGTGGTGATTGTGTTCATTAGAGATGGAGGAGAGAAAGCAGGAGAAGGTCGGTGCCGAAGGGAGACGCGATGTTCAATTCCTGGGTGAAATTTTTTAGGTTGAGGATACATACGCATAATATATATATATATATATATATATATATATATTATATAATAATATTATGGTTTAATAAAAAAAATTAAAATTGAAAAGATTAAAATGCCCTTGAGTTAACGTCCGAAATCTAACAGAATTAATCACAGTTTCAAAATGGTAACCATAAGGATCAAAAAAGCAGATTTTAAAGACCAATGACGAAAATAATTATAAATAACAAACCACATGGACGAAAATCGCAGTTAACTCTAAGTTTTAATTCACTAGATTAAGTATCATTTGAATGGATTGTAATATCCTCTAGACATACGTCGATTTGTATTTATGTTTCAGGACACTACGTACTTGCATGCCTCAATCTTATCTCTGTTTCTACAAGAGTATGCAAATTCAAGTAAAAGTTACAGATTTCATTGATTGTTTGTATCTACATAATTTCTAAGTCTGAATAAACTATAGATTTCTGTAGATCAATTATTATGAATATACACATAATTTCTAACTCTAAATCGGGGATGCGGCGGGGACCTCAATCCCTGTCCCCGACTACTTATCTCTATCCCCGTCCCCATTCCCCTCCCCATGCCCAACAGGGAAACGATGATTTTTTTTCCGGTTTATATAAGTTATTTTGAATTAAATATATGAGAGACTATACATGTTTAAATCTCAAATATTTTCAATAAACCTAAAACCAAAATGAATTTAATTTAATACAAAAAAACACCACAACATCATATAAGAACTAATAACCTAAAACAAAAAGTATTCAATTAAATCCAAATAAACTTAAAGTCACGTGTACCAAAAGATATTGAGTAATATAAAATCATGTCGAGTAATATACAAAACTTATCAAGTAATTGTATTTTGATTTGACATCCAAAATATTACATTAACATAAAAAAAAAACAATTTAGATTATAAACCTAGTTAGGAAATAAGAAATATGAACTACCGTTTTAGTTGAAATAAATATGAAATAATATATATATATATATATATATACTTGGGATCATGTGAGACCAATGGTTTTTCGTAAGACCCGTAAGACTAATTCTCAACCCTTGGATTAGATTTACAATCGTCAGATCTGAACATTTATAAATGCCATGAGACTTCTCAATAATTACAAAATTGCCACTTTGCAACTTTAGACCATTAGATCATAAGTTTATAATGTTGATCAATGAACATAAATTGGTCTTACGGGTCTCAAGAAAAACCCTTGGTCTCACGTGAACCCAACCCTATATATATATATATATATATATATATATATATAGGGTATATTTCTTTTACAACCTTGTGCATTTGTACAACCTTTGCAACCCAATTAATTGAGATATTTATAGAAATGATTGGAGTTCATT